TACTCCCTCCCCTGGGTTTGTTAGCCGCCCTGAGTCCCTCCGGGAATAGGGCGGCATATAAATGAAATAAACCTATAACCTATAACCTAACCTATAAAGAAACAGGGAAACAATTAGTAATTAATGCTGGAAAGTAAAAATTATCTCTCCCTAAAACCCTATTAAGAAGTGAGCATTAATTTTATTACATTCTGATGAAACACCAAAAATGTGAACTCCATCATTACTCTTTAGTTTAGGCTGATATGAATTATTTGAACTCTACACAACATTTGTCTTGTCATCTCAGTAATGTTGAAGACAACTCTCTTCACTTTGGGAGGGAGGGAGGGAAGGAAGGATCCTACTTCATCTCCTTGGGAAAGACATACACTCAGAACAACTGGGCTTCTTCAAACTGTCAACCTTTTTACCATAAAAGATAAATAATTATTTTTCCCATTTTAACCCACCAGTCATTCATCAGCAGACAAATATAAAAGCACCCTAAAGTTTTTTTTAAAAAAATTCCATCCTGCCTTTTAAAAGTAGATAAGTGAAACAAAGCAGGTGAAGAGAATGTAAACTCTGCTATTTCAGAGAGATTAGGCACCTGTTCATACTAGTCTGAATGTGGTGGAAAAAAGTGAAAAAGAGATTCCTGAAATGCTAAGGAGTTGCTCTCCCTTTACAAAATTCTGCATAGACCATATTAGTTCTTGGATAGTTACATACTATCTCTAGGGTTTGGAGCAGGTGACAACTTTTTTTAATTACACAGGCAAAATCAGATGCTAATTAAAATGGAATTAATTAGCCAATTACCTCCTTTTGAGGTTAGCTGTTTAAGATAAACTGATGGATGTCAAACCCCAAAGGAAAAATGATCAAGCTTATGAAACTGGTTAACTGCTAAGAAAGAAAAAGAGCTAGGTAGGTAAGAATGAGAGAATTACTGAGGATGTGTCTTCGCTGCTGAAACTCTGCTTGCAGGCAGGGTGATACAACCAAGAATATGCCCTCACACCATTTAAAAAGATTTATGTAAAAGATTAGGTAAAGGAGGTCCTAATCATCTGATACTTGATACATTAAGAGCGACAGTCTTGTCTTGAATTGTATCTAGAAAACTTTGGGACACAAACTCATATGTTGGTTTCCGAACAGGATGATGTGCCACGATCAGAACTTCTGACTACAGCATGTTTTTCTCCTGCCTAGGTCACTGATGACATCAAAGCTGCATGGAGACCATAATTCCCACAACACTGTTTTAGTATATCAAACGATGTGGTAAGGCTGTATTATTACTATTATCTTTCTCATCTTTCCTATTACCTATTCCTTTAGCATCTTATGATTATCAGCTTTGTTGTTTGTATGTTGATTGCTTCTATTTTGTATCTTATGACTATCACTGAGTGTTTTAGCTTATGATTTATGATGATTGTATGTTGATTGGGATCATGATTTATCACTTGTTACTTGTATGTACACTGAGACCTTATGAAACAGGAGACAAATTCCTTGTGTGTGTCCAATCACACTTGGCCAATAAAGAATTCTATTTTATTCTATTTGGAATACTTAAAACCTGCTGCAGTTTCTTGACTTTTGAAAGCTTTTTGAATTTTCTTTCATTTTGTTAAAATGTTTTTATTCTTATATCATGGGGAAGATACTCAGGGTTACCAAATAGGGGAGGCTGTAAATATAAGAAATAAGGTTAAACAATTAATTTCCCTTTTAATTAGACACAGTGGAAGTAGTCAAAGCCTTCCTACTCATAGCAGTTCTAAAGGTTAATGTATGTATACAAAACAAAGATGTTATGAATTTTGTCACAAAGACGTTATATTATAAGGTCACGGAATCCCTCCCAGTCTGGTTTGGACCCACCATCTGTATATGTGTAGTCCTCATTATACATTTTTTTAAAAAGTTCATAAATATTTTATGACTCATCCTTTCTATAAAATAAATGATAGTATCTGCTTTGTGAAGGGATTACAAAACAGATTTATGAAGGCTATCATGATGAAAAGAGTCTTCATTACTTATTTCATGTTGCTTTCTAATTGCCATAGACCACTACAAATTATGAAAGCTTTTTGTTTCTTCCTTTTTTTATCTTTAACAAAAACATTAGCTAGGTGAGGCAAATACAGAAATGTTCCTGAAGCTGGCAAGCATTACAACTACAGCTTTAATTAAATACAAAGATACATTGCTTATTTCTTCTGGCTAAAAATAAATTATGACAACTCTGCTGTAACTGCTGGAAAACCATTACACATTTCTATCAAGTGGTTCTTCTGTTGATATAATGTAGCTATTATCATTGTATGGCAATTAAATTAAAACTGGCACAAAGATTATAACCATTACGTATGTTCCTTTAAAGTAATATATTTGTGAAAATCCTTGCAATTAGACTAGCTATTCAGAAAAAGGAAAAAAAAACTTTGCTGACTTAAGACATAAAAACTTTTGTACAATTTAGTACACAGTAAATTTGCAAACAAACTGACCCTGTTCTAAATAGTACAAACATTTCTGGCGAGACGAAGGCTAAGTCAGGAAATGCACAACAGTTTTACACTTTGGATTTGGTGGATACTTTGGATATTTTTGGTGGATATTCTGATCTTAACAATACAGAAGCTTGGCAAATCTTGACATATGCCCTTGTCCTTTAAAAAAAACCATGCTATGCTTTTCTAGGGGACCGTGTTTCCCCAAAATAAGACAGGGTCTTATTTTCTTTTGACCCCTGAAATAAGTGCTTGGTCTTATTTTCAGGTAGGTCTTATTATTTTTGAGGTGCAGGAGGAGGGGAGCATAGCAGTTAGACTTATATACCGCTTCATAGGGCTTTCAGCCCTCTCTAAGCGGTTTACAGAGTCAGCATATTGCCCCCAACAACAATCCGGGTCCTCATTTTACCCACCTCGGAAGGATGGAAGGCTGAGTCAACCCTGAGCCGGTGAGATTTGAACAGCCGAGCTGCAGAACTGCAGTCAGCTGAAGTAGCCTGCAGTGCTGCATTTAACCACTTCGCCACCTCGGCATGGTCTCCTCAGCACTGCTGCTGTGTTGTGCGTCACTGGGCCTGCCACTCTTTTTGCGCCGGCATGACAGAAGGGGCGTTGTGGCTAGGGTTGCGGAACCAACTGTTAGGTAAGGGAATGTGCATGGAGCATGCTCTCTCTTCCCTCCCCCCCTCCAGCCTCACCTCCTCATCTTGTTTGCATAGCAAGCAACCAGAGGAAATGGTGAGGACCGGCTACGCATGTGTTTAAATATTTTCAGGAGGGCTTGTTTTCAGGGGAAGGCCTATTTTAGCGCATGTGTTCAAAAGCCTGATTGGGCTTATTATCTGGGAAGGCTTATTTTAGCGCATGTGCTCAAAAGCCTGATTGGGC